CAAACCCCGACGGTAAGAGAAGGGCTGGACGCTTTGCCAATCAACGACACTCCGGATACTTTCAACTTTAGCCGCATCTCTGTGGACGCCTACCTCATGGAGCAAGGCCGAGAATCCCAGTCATACCATTTCAAGAGCCTGCTGTCTGCTGTTAGAGCCAGGAACCAGGCCTCGTTAAACCTGGTCTTGGCAAGTCAAAACGGAGAGGTTCACTTGCGGATCTCAGAGGACAAAAACACCGGTCCGACTTGGAACGATGTGCGATGGAGGAGCGAAACGTGCATCATTGAGATCTTTCTTCCTCGAGGCTTCAAGATTGCGGTACAGTGTATGCAACAAGATTTTAGGATGATATGGAACATGTACGAGTTCGGCAACAAGACGCAGGATACGCTATACCCTCGGCAGGACGAGCAGTGCATATTCCACGCAACACTGCGAACGTTCCAGTTCTTCGACGCCGATGCACAGTCCCGATCTTTCCCCAAGGAGCCAGTACCTTCCTGCGACATAGCACTCTTTGAGAAGTATTTGAAGGAAAAGACGCCGACAGGCCCTCGCACCTTCCACAGAGGATATAGGCTTGCCGTCGTGTCTGGCCCGCATACTCGGACCTTGAGCGGGATCAATCTTCCCTGGACCCCACAGCAACCGATTCCATATGGCTTCCTCCGAGGTGAAGGCGGCGACCCAGCTCTTTTGCTAAAGTGCGACAATGGGCGCTACAAGGGCAGCATGGTGCTTTCCTTCAAGGACGAAGCTGAGCGTCTGAACTTCCATACACTCCTCACTGGCACGGCGGTTCAAAACGATGAGACTATTTACGCAGATGTCCCATTGGTAGGCTATACCTTGAGCCACTCTTTGGACGACTCCAAAGGATTACCCGGCATCAGCAAGCTCCCTTGGCAATCGGTCCGTGTCATCAATGATGACCACGGAGGTGACGATATGCCGCCAACGGTGCTCTCCGACAAGTTGAGGGTGATTGTCGATTCCAAGGTGGGCACGATTGCCGACCGCGTCAACGTTGAGACGGGCGAACTCCGAGTCAGGCTGGAGGTTAGCGATGCCAAGACTCTTGTCGTATTGAGGCGGCCTCAAAACGACGTGACGATGGCTGTATCCGATTCTCAAGTCGGTCGGGAAAGTCCAAAAGAAATGGAGCAGACCTTGCAGATGTTGCAGACGACACAGTCCATCCGGACGTTCAAGTTTCCCAGCTTGAAGGATCTTCACGCCTTCCAAGCAGCTCTCACGGGGTTCCAGGTCAAATATGACAGTCTTGCCGTTGGGTTTTCCATTACCCGCCGGCGAATGGTGGTCCCTGTTCATAAGAAATGGGAAGCCGGCTGGACGCGAGTCCAGGTGGTGCAGCAGGACACGGTTCCACAGCTACTCGCCTTCTTCCCCGACTTCAAGCATGGACAATGCATGAACTTTGTTCTCAAAGGAACAGATGTCTATGAAACGTTCTCTCGCAGCGGCAAATTCGGTCTTCGATTCGTCGACGCCAAGTTTCCGCTCCCACGCATGCCAGATGATAATGAAGGTCCCACAGACGACATGGGCTTTATATGCCTCGATTTTCCGGACTTGCCTGGAGAACATGACGACGTTTCGTTCCTGTTCGAGAACGAAGCCGGTAAGTCCACCATATCGCAACATGACAGGAAACCTGAACGTTACTGACCTGTGTCCTCAGATCGCGAACGCCTGTGTCAGTGTCTTCCGGCACCTGTGAAGGGCGGGTCCCGGCTCGCTAGCAAGATCAATTTTTAGGGTAGAATGTGAGTGCTGAAGCGACATGATAACGGACACAGCATGGCATATGGTCAGCGACAAGGATGCATTTGGATTGACAGACGGGGCTCGTGGCGAAACCCTGTATCGTAGGTGAGGGGGGCGGAATGCGAGATACCCTCGTTGTGCGTGCAGTAGAGAACTGCTAGTCATGATGGATGATTGCAGCAAAAGACCCTCCCACGCCCGGTTGGGCGCGGATGGGCGTACGAATGTCTGAAGCAAAATCGAGGCTAATTGAAGGCTTTTTGAATCCATTATGTCCTCGAAAGACCAAGTGATTGATACCACAGGCGAGCAGCCTGCCAACCAAGCTCTGTTGGGCATGCTCTGGAGCCCGAGCCGATGGACGTCCCATAGTCCCCACCTCTCGGCCGCCGGGACCGATCCAACCGATTTCGGCTGCCCGTTCTGAAGCGGCTCCGAGTTTGGCTCTACTCTCCTGGCCTAGCCTGGAGAGACTGTTAAGCAATCAAACTGCAAAATAATCGAGCCCGTCATGGCTGTGTGTGCATGTCACAGCCAAGGGACCATGGTGATCTATCAAGTCTTTGACGACCTTCTCAAACCTACAGCGTGCCACTGTAGCATCTTGTCACGGCTGGTTCACGAATGATCCATTTTCGTAAAGCATGGCCTGGAAGCCATTATACTGTCTGTGCATGGGGTCAGTGCGGTTCGATAATCTGCAATGTTAACGGCGGTTTCCGTCCGTTTCAACGATGCAAGAGGCGTTCAACAAGGTTTCCTCAGGAACACAACTGGATATTTCACTTTGCTCGTGCGTCGCCAGCAGACTGAGCAGCGGGCGTACCAGCCGGTATAAGACAGGTAGGTATAGAGACGGGACGCGAATTGTACCGGGTGGGTGAACCGAATCCGAAAAGTGCGAGGGTTCGCACTTTTCAGCATGTCCGAGGATGCGAGGAACCCGCCCCCCCTTCTCCCTCCTTAAACGCCCATGTCCTCACCAAGGGCTCGCGAATGGAATACGACGACTCGACGTTCGCGGCGAGGGAGCGAAGAAGGGTGGCGGAGGAGGACATGGCCCGCGGGATTGGCAAAGGTTGTGCATGATGCGACACTGCGGAGGCAGGCACTGCCACGGACTTGAGCTATGAGCGAGTCTCCGATGAAAAGTTTGTGGGTGAGTGAGTGGGATGGATGAGGGGTCTTTGCAGGGGTGCTGGGTGTTGGCGGGAGAGGCGGTGATTGGATTGACTTTATTGATCAGATTTGTCGCGCAAGCGAAGGAATTGTTCATGCAGGATCTGCCGTTCGCAGGGCGTGATTGAGGAACCTACTGTACCCTCAGTGAAGGGGGGTTGAGGGGTTACAAACGCCTTGCTTGTCAGTAACGAACCTCTATGCTGTAAGCCGCAGCTTCAATGACCGGCGGCTGGCTGACGTTGGATCGATCATCTGAGGTCAAGACCAACAGACAGTGGAAATGTCGTCATGAGACGGCTATGATGTAGTGGTTGGGGGCTACGGCTGCCCCTCCTTCGCCCCGCCCGCTACCACTCTGAGCGCGCCCTGTCCCCCCCTCCACCCCTTACAGGATGACCTGCCCCCTGCAAGCCCTGAGACCTGTCCACTGGGAGGTGCAGCTACATGTACAGAGAGCTATAGTAGGGGGCTGCCACAAGGCTACGTAGCGCGTTGGTCCAACGGCACTGGGGCGCGGGAGGGGCCAGGCCTTAGCACCATCCCATGACACCTGCTAGCAAGGTACTTTCCACTGGACAGCTCAGGTCTCTGGCACATCGACCGTCGTCATCGTCACCACCCATTCGTCTGTACTCGTGCTATCACCACCGACCTCTAGTGGCCAACGCGGGCAGCAGGGCTGGGTGCACTTCGCCCGCCCCGGAGAATGGACGTGCTGAGAACATCGTCACCGATTACATTGCAGTGAAGCTTTGCCACCCGAAGGTAGGTATGTAGCTTGTGTTTGCCTCTTGTCTCCCCAAAGCCACAAAGTGCCAGTGCCATCTTCGTGAACCACCCAGCTGTGCCTCAACACCTGCCTCCCGTCCGCCACGGCTCCTAACCACACCATCCGGGACGTCCCTTGGTCTAAGTGGAAATCATCGCCCGATCTCACCAGACACAGCGATCTCAGGGCTCTCGACGCGAAACCTGATTCTCCTGCTTCCACCTTTCGCAGGCCTGGACCACTGCCACTCACTACTGACCCGGGCACATTCCACGTCTCCGTCTTTGGCATTTTTAGTATTTACACCAGCTTCCTTGAACAGGCCTTTGTGGTGTCAGTCGTGAGCTACGCAAAACCCATGTCATTTCACCTGCACCCAGTTCCACGAAATATCCGTTACCAAAGACCCAAGACGCACCTTAGATAAGACAAAGAGGGATCCTAGAGTCGGAACCCAAGACACCACGCCCAAACGCCAGCGCTGCCCAGCTTCCCAATTCCACCCTTCCGGACACCGGCTTCTTCGGTCACATTCATTATATACAACCCATACCTACATCCTTAGCGGCCTACCCGTCTGTGCGACCTATTTATTCGACATTTCCGCCACTCCCGGCAGCTTGACAGCACTTCTCTCGGCCCTCTCCTCCCCCTCTGACGATACCACCTTCGCTTACGCACAAATCCCGTCGAAGCTCTACCGCTGCACCTCGCTGCCTGATCTTACAAGACGCCCCGAAGCCAGCTTTCCACACCGCAGGCAGCACGATCCGACCAGCTGCGTCAGCGCTTCAAGGGTTTCGAAAACCAAACCGCCGGGATTCCCTTGACTCGTTTCCCAGTTCCCCAGCACCCACAGCTCGGCACGAAGCAGGCTCCCTCAGCTCTTCGAAGTGGAACAAATTCGACGCCCAGAATTCCCATTCCCGAGTCCACAGGCGCCAGTTTTAGCCCGACCGCCCGAGAGAGGGGCGCGCGCTTTGCAGGTCATACACACCTACCTACCTAGTATAGTGCCTCCTCACAGAGTCAGCTGCCGTAGCTAGTAGGTAGGCACCAGTCGCAGTCATGGGCTTGGTACATGTGCCAGCTCGCCTGCGATCCGCTTCGCTCAGTGAGTCTCGAGTCCCCCAAGGTGCCCTATCTACCGCATCCCCCCCACCGATTCACCTGAAGCCGACCCCTCCGACCATCAACGTCACGATCTTTCCCACCCCACCACGTCCCAGACGACGTTCTCCATCTTGTCTCGCCCAACATGCTAAACTGGCTTGCACCAGCAGCGAGCAACGGCTCGAACCATGCGGCCGCCGACGCCAAGCCAGGCGAAGATGATGACACCCTTGTTGTCGAGCCTGATCAGGGCAACGGTGCGTACCCCTTGACTCTGGTCCCCTCCCGTCCTTTAAACAGAGAGAGAGCGAAAAAAAATAATACACTGCGCGACCAGATGCCCCGCGATGCGGTTCGATGCGACGCGACGGTCCATAATGCAATGCGACTCGAAGCTATGCCCCGCGATGCGCCAGATCCCATGAACTCGAAACTGACATTTGCTTTTTGCCTTGCAGTGCTCACTCACATTATTTCCCAGCTCCGGCCGGGCGCCGATCTTAGTCGAGTAGTCTTGCCTACCTTCATCCTGGAGCCTCGCAGCATGCTCGAGAGAATCACCAAGTCAGAACCCCTCCATCTCTGAAACCTCCCAGCCTCTAGACATTTTGTCTTCTCGCCGATGGACCATGCTGACAATCCTCCAGCTTCATGTGCCACCCCGAAATGCTTCTTCCCATACCCGAGATCGACGATCCCACGCAGCGATTTGCTTCCGTTGTCAAGTTCTACCTCAGCGGCTGGCACATCCGACCTCCGTCAGTCCAACCCCGCGGTCAAGAAGGTTCAAACCCTATGAAACAAAAATCGCTAACATGGCTTGTAGAGGTGTCAAGAAACCCCTCAACCCCATCATTGGCGAAGTCTTCAGCTGCTACTGGGATCTGCCAGACAGCACACGTGCCTACTACATTGCCGAACAAACCTCCCACCACCCGCCCAAGTCGAGCTACTTCTACATGATCCCCGACCACCACATCCGCGTCGATGGCTGCCTGAAGCCTCGCAGCAAGTTCCTCGGCAACTCGGCCGCCAGTCTGATGGAAGGCACCGTTACCCTGACCTTCCTGAACAGGGGCAAGAACAAGGCCAAGGGCGAGCGGTAGTGCGTACTCTCTCTATTCGGGCTCTGCTGGTTGGATCAAACGCTGACTGTGCACCTAGCATGCTGACACAGCCCAACATGTACGCCCGCGGCATTCTGTTCGGCAAGATGAAGTATGAGCTCGGCGACCACAGCTTCGTGCGCTGCCCCGAGCTCGATCTTGTGGCCGACATTGAGTTCAAGACCAAAGGCTGGGTCGGCGGTACCTACAATGCCATTGGCGGCTTCATCAAACGGGAGAGCACCGACGAGGTCCTGTATGAGCTTTCAGGCCTGTGGAGCGATGAGATGTTCATCAAGGACGTCAAGGTAACGACCGCGCAAACTCGTCGTGAGAAGCATGCTAATGCATAGTAGACTGGCCACAAGGAGATGTTTTTCAACGCGAAAACATCTAAACCAAGCAGCCCGTCCGTACGGCCCATCGAGGAACAGGATGTGCGCGAGTCACAGAAGCTCTGGCAGGCCACGGCGCAAGCCGTCCGCGAGCGCAATCATGAACTCGCCACCGACGAGAAAACCAAGGTCGAAGACATGCAGCGGGAGGAGCGGGAGATTCGGAACCGGGATGGTGTTGAGTGGCGCCCGAGGCTCTTCAGGCCGGTCAAGGGCGGTCCTGGCGGTTCCGAGGAGGGAGAGGAGGACCTCGAGTGGATCATCAACGCCAACATGTGAGTCCAGCGGCGCCATGACGGCACAGCTTGAGGATTAGTACTAATGCGTTCATTAGTGACGGCGAGACACCCGAGAAGCAGGCCGAGCAGGTTCTGGCCATCTATCCCATCCTGCCCGGACAAAAGGCCTCTTCCGAGAACCAGATTCCACCGAACAAGCCCGCACAAACGCAGCCAAAGGCCACGGAGGCAGCGACACCTCCGCCGGTAGCCGAACCTACGCCTGCTGCGGCTCCCGTAGCAGCGCCCCAGAATGATCTCATCGATTTAAGCCACTCCGAGACAGCAGCACCCACCACCCAGCCTGCTGCTGCTGCGGCCGCGACGGCACCCCAGGCGACCCGACACGACTCGCAGGATATCACGGGCATGCTGAGTAATACGGGCAAGCCAGCGGCAGATGGGCCGCTGATTGACTTTGTCAGCGATCTCAAGAAGAACGTGCCCGAGCTGAAGAGGGCCGACACAAGCGAGGATGACTTCCAGGATGCGCAGGAGAAGTGAAGTGGCCGCTCCATAGCTAGACGCACATCCTCGGGAGAAGCAGCGGGTGAGGGAGCTGCACATCAGCGCAGGCCACCACATGGTTTGAACACAAGGTTGGCTTCTGGGGAGGGAAGTATTCGGGACATCCGGGCGGGAACGGGGCCAACAGTCGGTTAGAAAAGGGATACCATGATGACACGACACACGCATGTACGGGGGTCTCTCTGTAGATAAGCGCACCGTCACGGGGAGGGGGTTTAATGGAGTCGATACAAAACGATTCACTGAGCATCAACGTAGGGTTCAAAAGTTACAGATTCCTGGTCCTGACTACATGTGAACGACGTGTTTCGGCCATCTCGGCAAAGATTCTGCCGCAGCCTCTCGCGGACCCTAAACGCCCAACGCCCTCCCGTGATGACATGTTTCCTTCCTCTCCTTTATCCCCGACGGGGTATCATACAATGCATCCTGCCTTTTCTTCTCGGCCCTTGGGACGAACGGCTCCCCATCCAGCAATCCCAATTTTTCATTTGTATTTTCATACTGGTTCGCCCTGAAAACGAGTGAAGTTCTCCCTTTTGCTCTCACCCGCTCAAGCGAACCGCCGCCTCGTCGGCTCAGGCGTCGGGCTGCGCGAGGGGCTCCTCTCGTCGCGGCCGCGGTCCTTGAGCCACTTCTTGGTGCTGAGGACGAGCTCGCGGTCGAGCTCGTCCGAGGGGTTCTTGCGGTGGATAAAGTTGCAGAAGCCGCCGCGCACGCAGCCCTCGCCCGAGTTGAGGCGACAGCAGGCCTCGCGAAAGTCGGTCACGGGCGACAGCTCGGCGTAGATGGGCCGCGCGGCGTACCAGCGCGAGTTGAGCGCGTCGCAGGCTTTTTGCGCCGAGTCTTCGTACTTGAAGCGGGCGTAGACGTTGCCGATGAGGTCTTGGGTTCCCGTTAGCATGGTCATCACACACAGACACACAGAGACACACATTGACCCCGTGAGAGGGTTCCTGGCGAGAAGCAAGTAGGGGAAGATGGAAACTCACGGTCGTTATTGTTGTCGCAGACGACGAGCTCTTCGAGCTCTCCGTACTGGCATAGCTCGCACCAAATGTCCTCGTAAAAGGCGTCAAAGTGGTTCTGCAGCTGGCTCGGGTTCATGCGGTTCTTCGGGTCGTAGGCCGGGTTCTGGTACAGGTTCGGCATGAGAATCGTCTGGCTATACGAGGGCTTGACGTGCTTTCGCGAGCAGCGGTCGCCGTGGCGGCAGGCGCCGATCTTGAAGTAGAAGGAGCAGTTGACCTTGTCGAGCTCGGTGCCGAAAATGGAGGCGAGGAAGTTGGCCATGGCTGCGGAGGGATGCGGTGGTGCCTGGTGAGGGTGTCGAAGGGTGCTTTGATGGTGTCGGCGGCAGGAGACCGGTGGTGATGCTCGTGGGAAGGCTGGCGTCGGTCGCGACGGGGATGCTGGGGAAGTTTTGAAGTAGCCTTGCGCTGTTGCTAGAATCCAATGGCTGGTTCCTTCTGGCGCCACCTTGAGGCGTTGGATGATTAAGATGGTGGAAACCATGCGGGTAGATCTGCTTAGTCAGTATTTCAGCCACAACAGACTCCTCAACTCTGTGCTTCGTCATGCATATATACCAGTCGTCTTCACGAAACTCCGTTTATGGCATACATGCCATGACACGATCCAATTCATCACATTCACTATGGCTCCTCGCAGGTCATCTCATAATTTTGTCGATTGATTCATCTACACTAAGGTAGTCACTACATCCTTGATGTTCCGAAATGAGTAGATAAATACGATAATCATGAGAGATAACGTAGGGTCGGGACTCGCTATAACGTTATGAGTATCTTTTTTATCTTCTTTATTGATGCGTTATGAAGATAAGCGGCAGAAGAAAGCGTTGACCTCATCAGTCGGCTTAAAAGCTACAAGGTCATATCTTTTGGCCCATCCCTCTACCTGTGTCAGCCGTTCACCCAGGCGCACATTGGCCATGAAATTGCCTAGAAATCATCCTGTTTTGAAGAATCCTGACATGAACCTTACGCAAAGAAGGCAGGCTTCGGCAAATAGGGTTCTTCCAAAAACTTGATCTCATCCTCGCTCAATTCAACCGTCAGTGCCTCATTGGCCTGGTCAATCCGCTCCTTGCTTTCCAGACCACAGATGGGAGATGTTCCCTTACTCAGAACCCATGCAATCGCAATCTGTGCCATGCTGATGCCTTTCTTCTTAGAAAGCTCTTCCACACGTCCAACAATGGCCTCATCGGCCGCCTCCTCGCGACCGCGGAACAGTGCCTTGAGGAAGACGTCTGACTTCTCACGAGAGTCAGATCGGTCTGTCCACGCGTGAGTGAGCATACCCGCGCTCAGAGGCGACCACGGCATGAGGCCAACGCCGGTTGCCTTGCAGAAGCGAATCATTTCGCGCTCATCCTCGCGGGTGAGGAGGTTGTACAAGCCCTGCATGGAGATGAACTTGTGCCATCCGTGCTTTTCGGCAACATTCTGAAGTCTTTGGAACTCCCAGGTGGCCATCTACATTTGAATCTCAGCATGAGCTTGAAACTTGGACGCGGGGCTTGTAAATCTTACGGTACTGGCACCAATGTACCTAACCTTTCCACTCTCAACCACGTCATTCAACGCCTTCATGATCTCTTCCGGCTCGACGTCGCGATCGAGGCGGTGAATTTGGAGAACATCGATGTAGGTCCCGAGCCTCTCAATGCTCTTGTCGACGGCATCGAAGATGTGCTTCCTTGAGAGTCCGACAAGGTTGACAATGTCGCCGTCGTTGGTGATGGAGCGAGCGGGGTTGACCGCGCCACCAGCCTCGTCGACATACATGTAGCACTTGGTCATGATGACAAGCTTTGATCGGGGGATTTCGTACTTCTTGATGGCCTTTCCGATGATCCTCTCCGACTCGCCGTTGGAGTACGTGTCAGCAACGTCCCACGTGTTGATGCCGCGGTCGAAGGCGTATTTGAGAACGGGCAGACCCTCCTCTTCGGGCCGAATCCATTGCTGCCAGTTCTTGTCGCCAAAGCTCATGCCACCGAAGACAATGCGGGATGTCTTGAGGCCGGACTCGCCGAGTCTGTAGGCAAACTAAGGTCATTGGGTGTTTGTCAAGGGTGCCAAGGGCGGAACCATCTGGTTTGAAGACTGAATGATCGAGTTCAGGGAGAGAAATTACCTGGTGTACTGCATTTTGGTCGACATTTGGCCTGATTTTCAGGTACGAGCCAGTCTTTTCAATATCGTCTTGTTCGGTGTTAAATGGGCTTTGAAGTAATGTTTGGAAGCAGATCTTAGATCTTTGTCTTGGATTTCTCAGTATGTTTGGACGAGTAGAAAGCGGATTCGCAATTACAAGAGCCGGCCCATCGTGTCACTCAAATAACTTCTCAGCAGCTGCCAGATGTCCGAATTCGTGATCACTAACATGTGCCATGCTTTGCCTTTGAGCTGAAGCTTCACAACAAGCTCCAACATCGCTAGTCAGAGACATGGACGTAAGTGGTCGTTGAACTGGTTGGCCCACAACGGGCCCTCATGCACCATAAGCCGCTTGCATGAGACTACAAGTAGTGCCGATCCGCAGTTCTGAATCCCGTTACCACGACGCCCAGCAACACACATCACCGCAGAGCTGAATCTCAGCAAGGTTAGGACACACCATGGTAATCGAAATATCCGAGATGCGCGTCGCAATGGACGACTGGAGAGGAGTGACAAGCCCTGCTGAGGAGAAGAAACGGCAGAATCGTCGAAGCCAGAGAGCTTACCGTTAGTACATGTCATGCCCTCCCTCAAGATCGCTATCCTATCGTACCGTCGGCTGACAAGCCACGCTTATTCTCACAGGGAGGAGAATGAAGGATCAGCAGGGAAGTGCTCAATGTTCTGATTCGGCCGGCACAGCAACGTCGGCTGCTGGGCCGCACTCGACACACGCCCCCTACCAGACACGCGCCAAAAATGTGAAATGGTACCCTTCCAAGGCCACCTGCTCCCCCCTTGTCCCAGGAAGTCGGCTTCCATCCAGGCTTTGATCCTGGACACGTTCCAGGATTACAGCCTTAATGCCCCTCGCCCGAGCCAACTACAGCTCCTCATCCGACTCAACGTCCTTGACGGCCTTGCTCGAAACGCCGAAGCCCTGGGTTTCCCAGTCAAGGGCCTCTGCGCCGATGAGTTCATTTCTCCTTTCAACTACCAGAATGGACATCGGCCGTCCTCGCAGCCCTCCCACCCCGAGTCTCTCAGTCCGACGGCCCTCCAGCGAACGGTGCGACATCACCCGTGGGTTGACCTCTTCCCCCTGGCGCGGCTTCGCGACAACATCCTCCGTGGTCTTGATTCAGGGACAATTGACGAAGATGAGCTCTGCTCCGACCTGCTCAACGTTGAGGACACGAACTGGTCAGACGTAGAGAAACCGTCGCTCATCCTCTGGGGCGAATCGTTGGGACATCAAAGGCTGGGAGGCGAGCGCCGCTTTCCTGCGCAAGTGGGGCTGGATCACGCAAGGTTGTCCAGAACTCATCGAGGGCATTAACTACTGGCGGCGAATACGGGGCGAGCAGGGCATTGTCTTCGATGTCAGTGACGATGGTGCGAGCACAATGGCGACTGTCAACCTTGTTTCGGCCTTGTCGGAATCAAGGACTTGACCGGCGATAACGGCTACGCCCGTGGAAGACACTAGACCAACTGACTGACAGATCGGCGACCAACGACGAAATGGGATGCCTCAGTTGACAAACCTTGGCCGGCGAGTGCAGAGGTCTGAGCGGTCTCTTCGAGACTCTGAAACCGAGGATCTATCTGGGAGCATGCCATGATGGTGCTTTGAATAGCTTCAACAGTCGAACAGCATTGTTCAAGGTGAGATTCACTTCTTTACCTTTGAGTTTGAACTCATATCGGGGCTCAATGTTCTCGCGGTTTGCGACACCAAGTCGTGTAGGCGAACCTTCTTGAATCACGGCAAATCCCAAAATTGCTTGCCAGGACGTGTCGTCCTGCGTTGGATTGGATCACAAAAGTCCTGCTTGATGCCCAGCGTTTGGACCAATAATGGTGGTGTCAGGCATCCAGTCGACCCCTCAGCCTACCTAGTAATGAGTCATTCCATCAACGTTTCTCTTAGGGACGGCCATTGGCAGGCAGCCTCCAGGCTGACCGAGTGTTCAGCAGGTAATGGAATCTGAGAACATCACCGAGTGGACGATGCGTGCTTGTAAGTCGCATCAAGCGAGGACACATGCCGTGATTCAAAGTCACATGGTAGCCATGAAGCAATTGATGACTGGGCATACAGTTGGTATGCACATCTGCCGAGCTATAGAGACGCTTTTTCTTGACGCATACATGTGCTGCGAGCTGACCACAAATGAGCATCGTCAAATTTCATCCTGCATCGTGAACCACCACGAATTTCCAGAAATCCTAGACGAACATGCTCCCGGAATACTGGAGATAGATCGCACTGAGAAGGAGGATTGCTGTGAACCGATCAAAACAGTTCGCCGTGAATATGCTATGGCTTGCAAGTGCGGCTGCGGGGACTCATACATTCGTTAACCCAATCCTTCAGTCGCTGTCTTCCCAAGGCATGAAGCCTCCGCCCCTACCTGACTCCTCGCCAAGTTGGCCACTTAGACTTTCCAGCTCCTTCTGCATCAACTCAGGACTGGCCTTCTCCTTGGAAATTATCAAAGTCGAGCAACTTTATCCCATCTTCCTGCACCATAAAGTTGTGTCGGTTCACATCTCCATGTACCAGGCCCCCGCTCGTGGAAACTTTTCGGAACGGCCTCACACGCACTCAGATCTTGGATGGAAGCATGGCGTCCTTCCAGCTTTTCAAGCAGAAACCCCATGATGCGTCCATTCTCATGGATGTGAGCCAGGAAACGTGGCGCTGGACCAGAGCCTTCCAGCAGCTGATAAGCTATCGTTTCTCGTTCAATTCTCGGCACCTCCCACTCAAATCGGGCTATCTTAGCGATCATAGTAGCGGGTGATGAGGCATCAAATGTCGGGACCGAACGTGGTGTGATGACTTCAAAGGCCGACGCTGTGAGCTGTTTGGATCTCTCCAGCTCGAGGCAGTCAACGCTGACAGGATGCCATTGAGAACGGACCCCAGACAGTACATGCTTGGAGAATCCACAGTCCTCAAATCACCAGTCGCTTTGTCTCGGAAGATCTTGGCCATGGTCCAGTCTCCAGTCGGGAGTTTAGGTAAGGACTGCAGCGGTAGTGATAGGGTGTCTCGGTCAAATGTCCCTGGGGAGATGACGAGATATTTGATCTGCGATCCGATGCGTAGTCGGTAGTAGCTATCCCAAGAATCGTCATCGTCGACCTCCATAGATAGTATGACGGGCCCCATTAGTGAACTGAATCGACTTGGTCGTGATTCAGTATGTACTTGAGGTAACAAGACAGTTGTCTATATTCAAGTCGTTAGTGTTTCTAGTCTGAAGAGAGCCAAACCCGGAAGGTAGCTCTTAATCGTACTTTGATCCAAATACCTAGCCCTCACAAGTCGTTTTCTCATGGGAGTGCTTCAAATAGGTCCCGAAGTAGCTCTCCTGATGGAATCGAGCTGTTGTGCATCTGATTCTCAAATTCCTCACCATAACTTGCTAATGACGATTGTGAAGAGGTGTGGGAATGGTAGCTTAATATAGATACCAACAGTTGGTACAGTTGGTCCAGAAACCATCAGGCCCCAATGCAATGCAATGCACAATGCGAACCGTCACCAACGCGAGTACATCTTGGGGAGGAATCAAACTCTGAATGTCCACAAATCAGTCAAGTGGACCCGTGTGCATGAGAGGTGTCACAAAGTTGGCCTGTTGAAGTCCTGCCGCATCTCTTGACTGGTTCTCCCTGACTCGGTGCCGGTTTTCTGAGGGAAACAAATAACTGCAGTCACATAGCAAGTCCATGTATGTAACAAAACCGCTTTGTGCATTCACAGAAACGCTTGTTGGTTGAAGGGTCTAGTCTAGCAATCTTCCTGTCTGCCTGGCCCACGATGATAATCGTAGGTGGCGTGGACTTGTGCTGCCGCTTGAAAGCCTTGATTACAGTTGGTCAATGTCGCACAGCTGCCTCCAGCTTGCTTTTCACAGCCTGATGTTGCCATTGCCCAATTCGGTCAGCTTGGAGCCCAAGCCAGACGACTTCCAGCCTGCAATCTCGTCAGCTCTTTACAAAATCAATTCTGGATCGGGGAGGAAAATATACTCCGAGTTCTCCGGGCTGGCACTTTGGCGTCCATCATCTCATCGATCTCCTCAAGAGATCTATTTATCATTAGTACGGTGATCAGAATGATACTGAAAGGAAAGGACCACTCGCCTCTTAGTCATTTCTGGTATGAAAAAGAACAGCAGAAAGACAATGACCACGCAAATACTTCCGTAGACAAAGCCAACCTTGGGCCCAAGGTTTGCGTACGGCGCTTCCAGCAAGTAGGGGAGAGTGAACGTTGTGAGAAAGTTGCACGCATTTGCGACATTCAACTGGATCATGATGGATTTGTCGCGGAGACTTGTATGTGGAAGTTCTGACTTGACAACTTGCATCCTGTTCAGTATCGAGTCAGTTAGAGAGGCCGGCATGAGAGAGGATCTGTTATGATACGTACGTGGAGCCGAAGCCGACCATGTAGAACACGGGGAAAAGAATGGTCATGGTGAGAAGAGTATTGTTCTCGACGGTGGAGCGCGAGGCAACGGTGCCGAGTCCTCCCATGACTAGTAAAGAAGTTCCGCACAATGAACCGACGATGAGGCTGAGCCGCCTCCTGCCAAGGCGCTCGACAAACAAAATAACGAAGACGCAACCAACCAGGATGATTGAGCGCTTGATTAACGTAGCCGTGAACGGATCCATGATATTCAGTGACTTCAGGAAGACTGTGCCACTGGAAGGGGTCAGTTCCGTCACAGTAGGACAACTTTTGGGGGAAAGGATTGGAGACTGACTAGTTGCTGGCGAAGGTTTGGCCAGTCAATTGCGTGGAGGCTGCGGCGAGGATACCAACCCAAGTTCGGCGCTGTGCTATTTGTTAGATGCGATAGTTAGGATGAAGTCATGGAGTAGCCACTCACAGTATTGGTGCCCCTGAACAGATCCCTCCAACGCCCCTGGGCTGCTGCGTTTTCGATCGTCTCGAGTATAAGTTGAGCCTCCGCCTCAGCAGGGTACTCTTTGACGGCGCCTCGAAGATAATATATGCTGTCGGCAGCCTCGTCAAAGCGTCCCTTACGGAGCAGCCAACGAGGAGACTCGGGTACCAGGAAGCTGAAAGCCAAGGCGAGGACAGGAAATATCATGATCAACCCCACAGGGATGCGCCAACTCGCGTCGCCGTCGATTCGGCTGGTAAAGTTCGTGACAATGGCTCCGAGAAAGGCGGCAAAAATGTGCGAGAGGGCATACGTCGCAACCACTAACAGACAAAAATGTCAATTCTGAGCCCCCCGTGGTGAGTGATGTAATGATGTAAGCGGTCCGCAACGTACTAGAACCTCGGATGGCGGCTGGCGCAAGCTCGGCAACGAACATGGGCACGAGGTAAGCTTCCATGCCTACATGTGTCTGTATAAGCATTCTGCCGCCCAATGACTGTCCATAGTTTTTGGCGAAGAGCGACAGACAGACACCTCCGATGCAGATGGTGTTCATAATCAAGAGAATAACGTGACGGCCTCTTCTCTCGCTGATCTGCGCAGCTACAATGACGCCAATGGCATACGAGATGAGGGGGAAGGAATTCAGGTAAGCGAGCTTGTTTGCAGACATGGAATACTTCCCCGTAACCGGATTGATGTCACCAAATCTTCTTTCGAAAGCTACGTGTCCGCTATCGTTTCAGCAGACGTTCCTATTATAGTCGGTAAGATGAAAAAGAAGGCTTACAGTCCATGGCCTGAATGGAAGATAGAATCGAGGTTTCGAAACCAAAGGTCAAGACACTCGTGCAGAGGACCATGATAGCCATCAGCAGATTGGAACTGATATGTTTCGAAACGTTGTAGTTGTGCTCTCGTAGAAACGTCAACATATTGGGCAGCTAGACTTCAGACGTCCCGTGATCCAGCAGCCGCTTGGTGAATGCGGCGCATGAGGGAAGGCCGGGGAATTCTTCAACAGACCCGGAGGCTCGTGTCCAGGTTCCAGATCTTATACAGCTTCAAGTCCTCTTATATTGTTGCCATGACCTGACCTGCCTAGCCACAGACGTGTCGAACGTGGATGGGTACCGCAATCGGCATGTGGAGCAGGCGAAGCCAACTATTCTTCTGGTGTAGAGAATCCACTCCGGAGTCCTGGGACGGGCAGATACGGGCTTGGTGGTCTACGTGGGAGGTGGGAGGTGGGAGGTGTATTCGCAGTGGGTCGGGTCTTTCGTCGAGGGAACTGGCTTGGTGCTCGACCCGTCTCCAGATCTGAAGTGAAGGAAGTTCATGACTCTCCTTCTGGGATAATTTTGCTGTGGTGTGATCTGGCCAGAACGAACCAAACTGAGAGCTCGGTGCCGCAGGACAATACGACGTCAAGGGAGGCGAGAACCGAGCAACAAAGGTCCCCCGGTCCACCTGACAGCCGAGAGCCGAGAGCCGGGGCTTGGCATTCCGAGCCACCGGGGCTCGCGCAAAGCGCCACAGGGAACCGCCCGGACTTCCTGTGCCTTGGCTGGAGCGGTCATTGAGGTAGCTGGTCATCTTGTTGTGTACCTGTCAGATGAGTACTTGTCAGATGAGTACCAGGGCTGCAGCAGCTGTCTCACGAAGCGGTTGTCCTCGACGTGGACTAGCTGTGATAGCGCTTTGAAGAAGCGGATGGGTTTGGTGGCAGGATCATTGTATTCAGGCTCCCAGTCTGTGTCACTCTTCAGTGTCACTCTTCAGTGTCACTCTTCTGTGTCACTCTTGCTAAGGATGGATGTGAAAGGCAGCTGCAAGGCAACTGCAAGGCCCAAGGCACCTGCGCCTGTGGCCACTGCGGGGCAGGTGCCTTGGGGCAGCCACAGCAGCATCGTGCAAGGAGACACGTCTCGTGACTTTGTCGCACGAGGCTGCAAACGAGGCTGCAAACGAGGCTGCAGGCAAGGCTCAACCATCAACCATCAACCATGCCATCCCAACCCGACAGACAAGACAGGCAAACTCACACGATATATGGACCCTGGCTTGTCTGGCCAGATGAACACAAATCCAGGCACCAAATGCTGCAGCTCGGAACGCGGGGCACTAGCGAGGCAGCCTCATTGGCCCCAGCGCACGAGTCGCGGATAATGTGCTGAACCCCTGCATCGGCTGGCTGCTGTGCGTGCGCATGGGCCCTTTGGATCCCAAATCCCAAATCCCAAATCCCAAATCCCAAATCCCAAACCCCAAACCTCGACAAGTACATTCACCCGTCCCTGTCTCCCCATCCATTCCTCGCCCTCTCTTCGACTCTTGACTCTCCTCTGGCTCTGGTTGCACCCCCTCGGCAGGTGATCCGAACCCCACGACCAGCACGATCAATCAAGCCACGTCACGTCAGACCGCAAGGCAAGGCCAACAACGCCTGACGCGAGCCTCGTCGTCTCTTCACTCTTCGCTCTTCGCTCTTCGCTCTTCGCCCATGTCCTTCCCGAATCGCACCACCGCCAAAAGACCATGATCTGCACCACGTGCCGACTCCGACTCCGACTTCCTCGCTGACGCCCACCCCGACGTTTCTCCTTGGCGCCCCCCCATCACGATCCTCTGCCGCCGTTGCTGCGTCCGCCACCGCCGCCGCCACCACCGCAGCCTGGACCATGGACCAAGCAGACATCCCCGCGCTCCTGTCGCGGCTGGCCTCCGACGAGGATGCCGCCCGCAAGATGGCCGTCTTCAAGCTCCAGTCCTCCATAAACGACCCCGCCTTTGCCGACGTCTTCATCTCCTCCGGTGGCCTCGTCGTACTGCGCCGCCTGATTATGAGCACCGGCGGCAACACCTTGGCCTACTCCCTGCAGAGCCTGACCCGCCTGCTCGAGGTTGACATGGGCTGGGACATATTCGAGGGTCCCGCTGCCGGCGACCTCGTCGAGCGCGTCGTCGAGCTCATCGTCACGAACCCCCTCGTCAACATTCTGCGCGGCGCCATGTCCATCCTCGTTGCCCTCGTCAGCCACTCCCAGTCCGACGCCGGCGCACGCAACCCCGCCACCACCGGCGCGAGGCTGCCCGGGTCCTTTGGCTTCCGCGCCCTGAAGCCCGCCGTCGCCGTCTACCCGCACTTCTTCGAGCTCGTCATTGCCCAGCTGCAGTCCGCCGACCACGCCCTCTGCGCCAACGCCCTCATGCTCATCAACGCCCTCATCCGGGACGCTGTCTCGAGCGAGGCCGCCGCCCGCGAGGCCGCCACCGTCGGCCTGGCCACCAAGTCGTCGGCCGCCGCCGCCGCAGCAGCAGCGCAGGGCGCCCCCATGGAGGAGTGGTCCAAGTTCATCAAGCGGCTGCAAGATCTCGGTCTTATCAAGGCCGTCTACAACCTCATGCAGAGCTCGGCCCTCCAGGATCTCGCCCACCCCCTCCTTGAGTTTCAGTCCCTGACCAAGCTCCTGCTGCGCAAGTGGCGCGAGGTCCGCGTCGACGTCGAGCGCCCCGAGCACCGGAGAGGTCTCAAGGGCCTCCATATCGCGAGCGCGCCCGACCGCCCTGCCGTCAACGGCATCGCGTCCAACAGAGACGACCCAGCCGACACGGTGGCAGCCATGACGACAAGGAAGGGCAGTCGACGGCACAATCCCGAAAAGTGGCGACGACTCGGCTTCGAGACGGAGAGCCCGGCCCAGGAATTCGACGTGACGGGCTTCCTCGGCATGATGGACCTCACCGACTACGTGCGCAAGCACGAGGACGGCTTCCAGAAGATACTCCTCGAGCAGTCGACGCGGCCCCTGCACGAACGCTGCCCCATCGCGCGCGCCAGCCTCGCCGTCACCATGATCCTCTACGACCACTTTGACGTCGACAGGGCCGAGGCCGAGGAGCACAAGAGCTACCAGGGCCTCGACGTGTCGGCCAAGAACAACGACAAGCTCTTCCGCCCGCTGCTGCTGCAGTGGTCGCGCCTGCACACAGCCGGCCTGCTGGCCTTTTTCCGCCTTTGGAAGGCGACGGGCGCCGCGCAGGCCGACTTTGACAAGGTCACCGAGCTCGTGCGCATCCTCGTCGAGCAGGTCGTGGGCCGTGCCGCCCGCACGCGCGACGTCCTCGAGGTCGAGGACGACCTCGCCGAGCACGACTGCGCCCGCCTGCGCGAGCTCCAGATGGAGCTCCTCGAGCTCTCCTTCGAGGACGCCTGGGGCCAGCACCTCTACCAGGTCCGCGAGGAGCTCAAGCAGGAAGCGCTGCAGTTCGTCAAGGAGCAGCGCGTCCGCTGCCTGCTCCAGGGCGCCTGGTTCTCCAAGCCCCTGCCGCGCCGCGACACCAACGCTACCGACAGCGGCGACGAGCCCCCGCGCCGCAGGCTCTACACGCCCATGCCCTGGCGCTTCGCCAAGCTCTCCCACAACCGCCGCTTCCTGCACTACGCCGATTTCCTGACGCGCACCCCGCAAGACCCGGGCCTCGACACGCTGACCGAAAAGGTCGACCTCGGCACCATCTCCTCCGTCGTCTCCAACGTCTCGGCCCCCGACGACGCCGCCAGCGCCGCGACCGTCAAGAACCTCCACGTCAACGGCCACAGCCACACCCACGTCAACGGCCACGGCGACGCGACGCCGACGCCAGCGACAGCCGCCGCCGGCCCCACGGGCTCGTCGACCAAGATTACCATTTTCCGCTTCGCCGACCCGTCGGACCCGAGCGCCGGCGAGTCGGCCGTCCTCGCCCTGCACCCCGTCAACCACAGCGCCGCGTCCGAGTGGCTCGACGGCCTCCTCATGCTCCTCAACCAGGCGCCCATCACGGCCGAGACGAACAAGCTCGTCGGCCTCGTCAGCGAGTACGGCCTCAAGATTCGCCTGCTCAACGTCCGCGTCGAGGCCGCCTACGCGGGGCCCCCGCCCGGCGCCGGCGTCGTGCCGAGCCGCGCCGGCCTCGACGAGGACTACTACTACGAGGTGTAGAATTACGGCAGCACAAAAGTGAACTTCGCTGCCCTCTTTTTTTTGATTCTGTTGTCTTGCTTCTTTTTTTGGTGCTGCGCGTCTGGCTTGAATTATACCCTCTAGTTTGCTTGCTTGCTGCGCGGCCAGGGATGGGGGACGAAGACGAGGAGGGAAGAGGAGAGGAAGAAGGAAGGAAAAGACGAACACGAGGGAAAGGAGATTCCTCCGCGCAACATGCCATGACGAGGATGGTGCCTCGCAAGAGGCTCATACATACCCGGCAACCTCCTCGTCACCCATTTCTTCTTCTCTCTTGCATGCTGTTTTTTCCCCTGCTGCTTGTGGATAGTCTGAACGCGCGGAAGCGTTGTGTATAATGAAGAGGATATACCCATGATAATCAACGCGTTACGGTTACGAGGACGGCAACAAAGGTGATGATACATGACTTGCATCATGTGACAGAATAGAAGAACAATCTCCTCATAAACCCGCAAAGGGTTTAAGATCAAGCTTTTTGATTTACGATATCAACCAGACAACGCTGGACTGCAGTCTCCCAATGCCTGGACCGAGCGATGCTCCCTGACCAGAGGGACAGCACTCTTGTACAACGGGTATCTATCTCTCTGACTTGTGAGTTGTCCTGATTCGAACCACGTACCGAAGAAAAGGCATCAGAGAAATTAAAGCTCGACATATCAGCTGTCAGGCCGAGTCCAGATCATACTACGCCCGGACCCCCAACGCCAAACCCAGGAAAGACGCTACCTGTTGCACGCAAACGTGCCAAATTACCCAGAAAAGCCGCGTGCTCGTCCATAAGGGAAGACCTAGAAATAATACTGCTGCTGCGGCTGTCCTGGCGGCGGATGAGCCGTAAAGTCCAAGTTCATCGCATCAACCCCCGAGTTCCACGGATCCGGCGACTCCCACCAGATCGACTCGTACAGATCCATCGGCGACATGTACGTCGCGGGATCAATTCCCGCGAGTCCGTCAAAGCCCGGGCCTTGCGGAGGTGGGTATACGCCGGGCAAGCCGGCGGTGTAGTCGGTCGGCATGGGTGTGCCGTTCTGCTGCATTTCTGCCATGGCGAGTGCGGCATCCTGGTGAGGGTCCAGAGCCGCAGACGCCGACGGGTTTGTCGACGGCGCGAGTGCGTTGCCGTTGGAAGGTTGCAAAGGAAACGGGGGCTGGTGCAACAGCAACGGCGTACGGGCCCCGCTGGCGACGCCACTGCCAGCGTCAGACTCGCGCTTGGCCGAGGAGCCGACGACTGAGCCGTGCTCATAAATGTTGCGCAGGGCCGTGAGCGCGCGATGGAGAGGCCCAGAAAGCTCAATATCCTTGTCCGTCTTGGGAATGTGGGCTGAAGGGGAAGTCTCCTTGGCAGCCGTGGCTGAAAGAGCAGCAATGAGGTCGCCCTGGAGCTGGCGAACGTCGGGACTGTTCTTGGTCTCGGCTAGTATGCCGAGAAGGAGGGCAGAGGAAAGACCATGATAGGTATAGGCCCAGGATCGTGTAGGGATCACAGACAGCTGGTGCATGGCGAGGAACATGCGCACCGTCTCGATGAGGTTATGCTGGCATTTCTCGGAGAGGAACTTCTTCTGCTCGGGACTCAACTGGGTGCAGTCGCGGTGAAGGGCGGGGCGACAGCAGACCGAGATGACGAAGGAAGAGTGTAGACGGATGCCGTAGTACTGCAGGCGATCGACGACAGATTTGCACTGGTCCTTGAACTGAATGTTGGGTGCGATCATGGTGCGCAGAGATTCGACAGCTTGGCAGTTGCCAACCATCTGCTCGTAGGACACGGTGGTGGTGATGTCAGGGTTGAGGCGGCGTGAGATGATCTCGCACAAATGATACATGGTTTCGAGGTATGTGTAATTCCCTCCACCAGCGTCTGAAGCCGTGGGTATCGGGCAGCAGGGAAAATTGGTCATAGGAGAGCGATCGAAGGAGAGAGAGGTAAGGGTGTCATGCCATACGCAAGTCCACCAGAGCTTGCGACGGATCATTTCTCTGGTTTTGAGATGAGGCGGCAGGTTTTCCCGATCATCCTGGGTGAAAGGCCGGTGAAGGCCGAGCGACTGGGCTAGGCGGCATGTCAACCCGAGCAGAGCCCAGGACGCTTCGGCCTTCATGTCGTTCAACAGGACGAAGCCGGTGAGGAGGAGAGCCTGAATTGAATCAAACGTGGGTCGAAGGAGAAAGTTGCCGAGACGGAGGAAATGAAAGGATATTTGAATGTACTTTTGCGAGTCCCTTGTCCTGATGTGAAATGGAGAGTCATGGTACTGAGACCCAACGGCGAGGACGGCAAAGAGGATGGCAAGCCAGGACGCAGAGACGGGTTTCGTGGTTTTGGTCGAGTTGCGCGCGTTCCGAGCCCTGTCCTCGAGGTAGACCATGAGCTTTGATTCAAGATCATCAATGTCGACAACGAAGCCCCAAAAGGCTTGAGGTGTCTCCTTGTAGGTGCGAAACAGCTTCATGACCTCACGATCAGAGGGCAGTTCAGATGAGATTTCTCTCGTCAGGCTGTCCAGGTGGCGCGACGACATGAGGGGAAAGGGCGCCGAGGTGTCGAGGCCGAGAATGGAACGCATGTCTTGACGAATGTCGCCGCCCTGGTGGACGTCGGCCGATGAGGATTGTTCCCGCAGTAATGAAGGGATGCTGTTGTGACCGAGATAACGGGTGATGCTCTCGGGAGCCTCGGCCTCGTCGACACTGGCAAAAGCGCGTGGCCAACTCGGCTGGCGCTGTGATGGTGTCCGGCTGGGGTCATCAGTGGCAGGGTCAGGAGAGTGTGGCCTCTTGCGCGTGCCGGAGCTCTCGCCAGTGGCAGTGGAGGCTGTTGTTGTTGTTGTTTTCGTCGTCGTCGTTGCTGCTGTTGTGGGCTTGCCAGAGGATGTGCGATTGGGCTTGTACGAGCAAAGCTGAGGGTGGTCACGCTTGACACAGTTCTCACATGGTTGTTGGTTGTCACATTTGACCTTGCGCTGTCGGCATGGCCAGCACGCGGTGCCGTAGCGGACCTTGCGATGAGAGTGGATGATGCGATTCGCTTCTTCGGGGGTGAGGTTGTCGAGCGAAGGATGGGCGGGATCTGGGGTCGAGCGGGCATCGGCGCCGGGCTGGGCGTCCCGTTGCCTTTCTTCTTCCCTCTGCATGGTGGCTGCGACGGGGACCGGAACCGGCGTCCGTATCGCAACAATGCAGAAGCCGATTCAGTGATGGTGTTGATGGCGGATTGATGGAAGTGCAATCCCGAATAGCGAATGCCGAGGGGAAGCTGAGGGGAAGGTGACTTGGAGCTCCAGGTACCTTACCTCGTGGTGTGTGGGCTCAGGGTCGGAGCTTGGAGCTTGGAGCTTGGAGCTTCAAGCAAGAAAAATCTCAGCAGGAGCCCGTGTGAGCCTTAGCTTAGCCTCCTTCCACGCGATGGGTAAGAGAGATTGAGACGAGGCAGGTGCAATCGAATTGAGACTGATTTCATCATCTCTTCACGCCCATCATTGGTACCACCAGAGTTCCACTGGGGAGCCTAGACACAAATCGGCAGTGGGAAAGCTTGGCGCATCGCTCTTGCGGTTCATGGTCCTAGACCCCTTCCTTCGCCTTACTCAGCAGCCCGACCGCGAAGGACGGAGGTCCGCAAGCGTCCCACCTGCTTGCCTACCAAGCCTACCTTAGCTTGCTTATGTAGGTACCTACATCCAGTGCCTGAATAAGGTGCCTCGCAGAAGGAGGCCGCTGACAGACAGCTAACCGAGCCAACCCAGCAGACCGCATCCAACAGCCCGCACCCAAGCACCCTCCCAAGGCAGACTCGGACTTTTGACCGTTTCCCAGCCACCCCGCCCCGCAGTTAACCGCCTACCCTGCCGCATCGATCCACTTCCACTTCACCTGTCAACCTCACCTGCCCTGACGCTGTCCTTGTCACTATCTATCCCCTCATCGTCACCTCAATGCCATCTTTCTCCCACCAACGTATAACCTCACCACGCCTCCCACACCCTGTCGTCCTAGCCAGTTCCGCTCCAGCACTGTCGCATTTACGACGGTCTGCGTGTCTCCAAGCCCTCATGCGCTGAGGCAAGATCAGACGCCCATGGGTCGTCGCCTGCCGTGGAACCACCCCCACCTGCGACTCAATTCCGCCGCCGCCGCCCCGTCCACGAGCAAACAGCAGCGCCTCAACCCTGAGCTTAAATCTCACCTCAGCCCTCACATCAATACGCCCTGCCCCGATTCCAACAACATGCCTTACAACAAAACACCCCGATCGTCCCGAGCCCGTGGTCGTCTCATGCAAAACGACCACACCCCTTCCAAAGCACCCTCGTCCTCTGCCAGGCCGTACACCTCTTCGAGGAAGCAACGCCTCAGTGGTCTCTACGCAGACGGCCTCTGGTACTGCAACTGTGAACCTCGCTGTGAGGCTAAGCAGTATCCCGTCAAGAAGAAGGGCCCCAACAAGGGCAAGCTCTTCTGGACCTGCGTTCTTCGCGCCTGCGACTTCTTCCTCTGGGACGATGATGCTACCGCCCGCACCCTGGGCCTCGCCGTAACGACCATCGAAGACCCTGTCCCTCAAACTCAGCCGTCTCCCGCTGCACCGTCTTCAGCCCGCCTCAAGGGCAAGCAGCCAGAGCTGGCAGAACCCCCTGCGACCGCTCCAAGCCAACCGCAGCCCAAAGAGCAAGATTT